AATAAAAAATAGTAGTTTCAAAATTGTCAGTTATTAGGAAATTAATCGTTGGTTTAAAAATGTTAAAATTTCTACAAAAAATAATGTCTACCCGCTTAGTTTTTTACTTAAAAAAGTTGTTTTGGTAATAAAATAACGCTTTATTTATAATATCTCTTTGGTTATCAGTAATAAGAATAGCATCCCCAATAAAAATTTTAAATTTCACGAAATTACTAATGATTTATTCGGTGTTCTTTTCACTAGTAGGTACATTTTAAGGAATAATTTCATCCAACAGCATGTAATTGTTATGTTGTTTATGTTGAAGCTCCTACATTTTTAATTATAGCTGAGGAAAAAAAATGTCGAATACTATCAATAGCATTGTGGTAATATGTGTAATACAATTTTCATTAAACATTAACGGGGTGTGTATCTTTTTCTCTATTGATTCTTTAAATCTGGGATTGCTATTATTATTACATTTTTTCTAACTGTAAACTGAAATAATTTTTATAAGGTAAGATATGCCGAAAGAAAACGAGCAGATTCAGTCGTTATTCTGCCAGATGCGTATAATAAACCAAAGGATCACTTGGATCTTATGAGATATATTAAAAGTGTCAGTGATCATGCCAATACACTGCCCCTTCTGTACCACCATAATCCTACAATAACTGGTATCAATAGTATGTTCATCATTTTTTTTTTTATTTTCTTTAAAAGATAAATTGAACACTTTTGTTTACAGTAAACATGACAAAACTTTTGAACGACATAATTGGGGAAATAGACACGTTTGTTGGAATAATATTTAGCGATAACAATCTTAGTGAAGCCGTGTCAGCCCTTCAAGTAAATGAAAATAAATTCACAGTCATTATAGGCAGTGATGAGGTATGTTTGGTCACAGGAAAATAGAATTTATTCAATAAATTTTTCTGTATTTCAGATAATGGTAGGAGCTTTTGCAAGTGGCTTTAATACATTAATGGGTACAACCCTTAATTTTCTTCCGAAAGTTGCCCAAACTATTCACGAAGCAGTGAAATTGGGTGTCATTAAGGAGGCAAGGGAGTCTCAGCTTCTTTTAACAAACACCATTTATGCTATTTGTCGGCAAGGTATTAAAATATTCAAGAAGTTCACTTCGTTCTACTTATATATACATATTTTATATTAATGTAATTTTGTTTTTGTTGAATTGAGTTGGATTAATAATTAATTGTGCATTAAGAAGCCTGTTTCTTTTATTAGGGGATTGGATACCAGCGATGAAAGCAGCAATGAACTTAATGTCGCCAATTTTTGTGGGCCCCGTTAGAGGTCCCTTAGTAGACGTATGGCTTGCGAAAATTCAAAAAATGAAAGCAGAACTTCAGCAATTAAAAGTGATTACATAATTTTAATGTTATTTATACAGATTCAACACAAGGTCATAAACGTCAAAATCTACAATGAGCATTGCAAGTTGCAGAAATTAGTTAGTAGAGGTAGAGTACAATAAGTTGCGTTCATTGAACGCAATAATTGAAAAGCAGCCATATTGAATAAAAGATACTAACATAAAATTAAATTTTAAAAATTGAGAATGAGTATTTAAAGAAAACTAATTTTTTGGTAAGGCTATTGCATTATGATAATTAAATTGCAAATTTTCGGTAATCAACATATTTTTTTCCAATTATTATAGATATATTCAGCAATTGCTTTTTCTATTTGTAAATTGATTTTATTAGTATCTAATAGTTGATGAAAGCCACACAGAAATAAAAAGATACCAATTTATCACTTAGAAGAAGAGCACCACCATTAAAAATAATTCCTATTACATCGATAGTAGGTATTATTTCCTGTTTTTATTTTTGAAAATAGTGTTCTGATTTATTTTATTTATAGCTAATCCTAAATTAATGTTTTTACGTAGTTTTTTTCTTTATAACATACATGTTCATCAGTCAATTTTAAAAATCGCCAATTCTGACGTATTCAACAGGTTTGAATATGGTTGGAAACAATTGCAAAGAAATGGACGGGTTTAGATGTGCATATTCAAGCGTATAGTTGGTTGAATATACATATCCATTCTAATAACATGAACATGATTTTTATAATTGATGTTTAAAGCACAGATTACAAAATTATTAAAAGTGTCGTCAACATTAAAATGTAAATGGTGTGCACTATCAATAACTTT